TGTTACTCAATCCAAACATATATATACTTTAATTTCCTCTCAAAAAGAACAAAAACCATGAATTTATGTGGATGTCATTGAAAGAAAAGCACTTTATAAACATGAGCTACTTAGTGAATATTGTCTAAGAATAAAACATGTTTTAAGCAGAGTTTGCTCATGCATTATATTCTGTGGATTTGAGAAGAATGTGGTCATTTTATTTCCATATATGAAATTTGGCACTGCCTAGGCATGCTATAAATGGCTTCATTATCTAATGTTATTAAATGTTTTCAAACTAAAACTGAAAGATTATCTATCATAGAGCCATCTCATTACACCTCTTCATCTTCTCTGCCATACCTGATTTTAAGAAACTCAGGCTGAGGAAATCCTGCTAGTGGAGAAGGGATTAAAATGTGAGATGCATCAGAAGGCATCAGTCCGCCTCTGTGCTGTATTTGTGTGGACTGAGGAAGGTGGAAAAAGATCTGGGTCTGAAGAAAAATCAGACTTATAAAATCCAGGTATACAAAGTAGATCACATTACTTATGATTATTCATCAACAAAATAAATAAAAACAAATCACCTAGACTGCCTCTGATGGCAAAAACTACTAAATAAATTTAAATATGGTTCACTTTATGAACAACTTTCCAGAAGCAGATCTACTGGGTAAAGTTAGGTTAACTCTAAGCTATTTGTTAGTGGATTCCTGCCTTAGTGGATTATAAACAACTCTGAAGACTTTGGCTAGACCCCAGAAAAGAGTCTGATCAGAGTGATATTTAATCAGTGAATGTGCCTGAGAGTCACTCTAAGTGACTGGAAGATTAGCTAGTTGAGTTTCTTCCACCATTAGTGTTATTTATCATCTGTGCTGCTTTTTCTCTTTATTAGCTCCAATGCCTTAAAGTTAACTGCACATACACACACACACAAAATCTTTCTAAAAGAAGAAAAATCATTATAGTCCCAAAGTCTACTGCTAATAAAATTAATAAATGCAAAATGCATTTTAAAATGCTTTTTAAAAGCACACTTCTGGTATAAATTGTGTCTGAACACTGGTGAAGACCTCTAATGTTCTTAGCTAAGAGCCTGACTACAAATCCATGTTACCTCAAAGCAATCACTCATGAATGATTAGAACGCAGATCTCTGTGTGTGTGTATATGTGTGTGTGTGTGTTGACACACACTATGATATATTGTAAGAACTTTTGTAAATGTCACAATGTACTCTCAGTACAATAATATAATATAATAAAGAAAAAAACAAAAACAGAAACACACACTATGAGTGTGCTTTTAAAAGACAAGAAAATGCTTTAAAAGCCTCTGTCTTCAAAATTTGATAGACTAACCATAAGATGTTTCAGTTTCCTTTGACAACTCTTTAGCCTTACACTGTAACTAAAAGAAGGAAAGCCATAAGATGTTGATGGGTTCCTGGTATCCTCACTATTAAATATTTTACTTCCAGGTCTAAGGCTTTAACCCACCTCTTTTATAATGAGCTATGACTCCCATTACCATCATTGGGCCCCTGGTTACCAAGGTCAAATTTGAAGCTTCGTGTTTAGGTGGCATCCCCATGCCCACCCCTATGAGCTTTGCTACCAGCAATTCCTGTGAACTGATTTGCTTATAGAGCTTCTATTTTTATTGTGAACTTTTAAAACTAGAGTACAAGGTAAACAGCAATAATTTTGCTTTTAAAGAACCTTTTTTAAAATAGTGGAAACAATAGTCAAGCCTCTGAAAATTATCTTCAGTCTTCATGTAATATGCTTGTCTACATTTGTAAGATTTAGCCTCAGAGTCCTGTCTACTGGACTCCAGCTCCACAGTTAAGAGGGCTATGGATAATAGCGATGCTAAAGGAAGGCCTACTCTCAGAGAGAGGAAAGTAGAAAGGAAAAGAACCTACCAAAAGCCCTTTTCTCTGTCTTTCCTTGCTTGACTCAGTTTTTGGTGTGGCCATAAAAGATAAGGCCAAGGATGGCTGAAGAAAAATTTATGAAGAAGTTATTCTTTGTGAAATTCTCTTACCTGACATTTCCTCTTCACTCCTTCCCCAACCCCATTTTCTGCCTCCCTTTCCGAGAACTAAGGGAGGTTGTACAGTAGTAGACTATAGTCCCAGAGGAGTTTGCACTTGAAAGGCCATCTTTGAAGACCCAAACCAGAGAACTCAGCTGTAATTCACAGAGCAGGTGTTTGGGGGTAGAGACAGGGCATTCCTCATATCCTAGGGCTCTTAGAATGTAGTTCTCCTTGACTCTGGGCCAGGAAATAGGTTTTCCTTTAGGGTAATAGATCGACCTCTTCGGCATAAATACCCAGCTGTGAACTGGGTCTAGTGCCAGCTAGGCACTCCAGGCTGTTAATCCCTGAGAGATGCCCGCAGCCTGTTAGCACCCATCCTCCCCTTGACTGAGCTACAGGAAGGAGGCAGTTATGGCATCATCAATTACTCCAGAAATCCAAAGGGTTCTTCTAAGACACTGCATAATTCCAATTAAGGTTTAGGGTGTAGGCATCTGCCAAAGAAGAATCTGCCTGTTGGAAATGGTGGTGTCAAGCCCAATGGTCACTGGCAACAAATGATGAGTGATCACACAGATTCTTTCTCAGGGCTTCCTCTGGCCTCTGTAGGGTCTGAACACACACACACCTAGCAAGAGGAATGAAAGAAAGGCATTGTTTTCAAATGTCCCTAAGAATAAAATTGAAATTCTCTTTGGAACTGTCCCTAGAACCAAAAACATATGCAAAAAGAATCAGGACTCAATAAAAAATGATCAAACTATAGAAGGACAGCCATTTAAAATGCAGAAACAGAACTCAAGAGACAACAGCCTACTTTTGTCTTGAGTTTTGTTTTTTGTATTCTGGATCCTTGAGCCTCACTCTTGTCACCTACTGGCTCTGTTAATTCAAATTCTTTTTCTCAATTAGCTTCTAAGATTATTCAGCAGTAAGGAAAGAAATGGACTCTTATTATATTTCCCAACAAGAGTCAGGGTCAGATTATATCATAAAACATCACACTAATTTTATAAATGACTGAAAACAGATTTAATTAAAATTCTACTATGATTAATTCTAATTCTGCCATATGCATCCTTATTTTATTACCATATTTAGTGACTCAATGCTAAAGACTTGTTTTAAAATACTTTTTGTTTCCAGGAAGTAAAGACCATAGAAATCTATTTGCCATTTTCAGCAATCTCCTGATGTCTCTTTTGCCTTCTAAAGCTTACTTGTTCTACATGGCCCCAGATAAAATGGTCAATGTATTATTTCTCCAGGGTGCTGATGCCTCAGAGGTATTAAATCTTTTCTTTACTCATTGTCAAGGGATGGTTTACTTTTATTCAAAGGTCAGTTGACCCATCCTGAGAACACAGTGGAAACATTTAATAAATAGTTTTCCCTTCTGAGACTGAATGTTAACTACCTAAAACATAATTAACAATAGAATCCCAGTCACTTTTTACTTCATGTCTAGGGAGTTTAGGTGCCTCCATTTAATAGGGGCCACAATGCTAGTAATCAAATTGACGGTCTTGACCTGACCTCGAAAAGTGGCTGTAAAATGATGCCTAGTAAATTAAGATAAATGCCAAATCCATTGGAGGAAACAGGCCTTTATCATTAGTATGAAATAAGCATTCAGGTTTGAGGCCAGGACTTCACAATAAGGATATAAATAACAGCCTGGGCACAAGGGAAGACATGTACTCTGTTATTGCACACACAAGATAACAGTGACTCACTTCACTCACATTATGCTTGACTAGAGATTTTAAATTCCTTTTTAAAAATGAGACTATTGTACCACAGGGTAAGGGTTTTATTATACTCAATAATGGGATTGAATATGCCAAAGCATAGAAGCAGAAAATTAAATCAGTTGGTCCCAGTGCCAAGGCAGGGGTTATCAAAAGTCACAATGGGTCACTTTGGTAGGTTTTCCAATGTTGCAGTGGCCTGGAAACCCAGAGAGGTACAGCGGGAAAATGTGTGTCCAACCAGGAGAGATGGCAGAAGTCATACTAGATCTCCCAGGCAGCATAATGGGGTCAGAATATGAGCACTACTTGTACTTTTGCTATTCCAGGATTGGTGGAATACTAACCAGGGAGGCAAAGGCACAAAGCAGTTAAGAAAAGAGGTTATCAACCTGGCTGTCTTCCAGAGTCCAATGCAAATAGTGCAGAGAAATCAGCAGCATCACTACCTGCTTGATGCATCATGTAAAAACAACTAAAATTGGTCAACCAAATCTCTAAAGACAAAATGCAAGTCATAAATCTTCAACCTCAATTCTCATTTTTAACAATAGCAGAGAGAGTTCATATAAATCTTGTTCCTTCTGTATTTTCTTCTCTCTTTCCTCTTAAGTCAAATTTGTTCCTTATTGTGCTTTTCTTTAGCTCTCAGGTTTATTGCTTCCTGCTCTGATATTTGGAGAAGAAAAAAAAGTCTGTAACTTAGTTTCCTGTCACAACTCAAACTAAATTCAGTGCTTCTTTCTCACTAAAGCCCTCTACTTGGCCAATTTTAAAAGAAGGGATGAGAACAATTTTGAAGGAAAGGAAGGCCTACTGCCTTCCTCTGTGTTGACCCCCAACCAGACCTGTGGGGTTAAAAACAAAATGATGAGTGTCTGGGTGCACCAACAACCCTAAACTCTTGATATATACAATTCCCAAGAGACATATGCACAAGTCTACTCAGCTATCTATAGGCAAAAGTTCATCCAGCTTTCTTAAGCCAGAAGGGAGCATGAAGATCTTACTACTCTAGCTTATCCTAGCTTAACATGATTTATCAAAACACAGGTCTATCTTCCCATAGGAGAGATCACTGGTATTTGCAAACCTGTCAACACTAGGACTGGTTGTATTTCCATGGCCCAGTAGTCCCCCATGATCAAGTTGGTTTCCATCATAAAAGAGATTAGTTCTCTAAACTTTTGCTCTGGTCTTTTTCTGCCCCCTCAGGTCATGGATTATATGGGACTTTTGAAATGTTGTCCTCCTGGAGGAAAACTAGAGAAGACCAACATGTTAAAGAGCGAACTGCAGCAGTGTATGCAGACTCCATGCTCTCCTTTTCTCTCACCACTGCCATGTACCTGGTCACCTTTGGCATAGGGGCCAGCCCTTTCACAAACATTGAGGCAGCCAGGATTTTCTGCTGCAATTCCTGTATTGCAATCTTCTTCAACTACCTCTATGTACTTTCGTTTTATGGTTCCAGCCTGGTGTTCACTGGCTACATAGAAAACAATTACCAGCATAGTATCTTCTGTAGAAAAGTTCCAAAGCCTGAAGTATTGCAGGAGAAGCCAGCATGGTACAGGTTTCTCTTAACAGCCAGATTCAGTGAGGACACAGCTGAAGGTGAGGAAGCAAACACTTACGAGAGTCACCTATTGGTATGTTTCCTCAAACGCTATTACTGTGACTGGATAACCAACACCTATGTCAAGCCTTTTGTAGTTCTCTTTTACCTTATTTATATTTCCTTTGCCTTAATGGGCTATCTGCAGGTCAGTGAAGGATCAGACCTTAGTAACATCGTAGCAACAGCGACACAAACCATTGAGTACACTACTGCCCAGCAAAAGTACTTTAGTAACTACAGTCCTGTGATTGGGTTTTACATATATGAGTCCATAGAATATTGGAACACTAGTGTCCAAGAAGATGTTCTAGAATATACCAAGGGGTTTGTGCGGATATCCTGGTTTGAAAGCTATTTAAATTACCTTCGGAAACTCAATGTATCCACTGGCTTGCCTAAGAAAAATTTCACAGACATGTTGAGAAATTCCTTCCTGAAAGCTCCCCAATTTTCACATTTTCAAGAGGACATCATCTTCTCTAAAAAGTACAATGATGAGGTTGATGTAGTGGCCTCCAGAATGTTTTTAGTGGCCAAGACCATGGAAACAAACAGAGAAGAACTCTATGATCTCTTGGAGACCCTGAGGAGACTTTCAGTCACCTCCAAGGTGAAGTTCATCGTCTTTAATCCGTCTTTTGTGTACATGGATCGATATGCCTCCTCTCTGGGAGCTCCCCTGCACAATTCCTGCATCAGTGCTTTGTTCCTGCTCTTCTTCTCGGCATTCCTGGTGGCAGATTCTCTAATTAATGTCTGGATCACTGTAACAGTTGTGTCCGTGGAGTTTGGAGTTATAGGTTTCATGACATTATGGAAAGTAGAACTGGACTGCATTTCTGTGCTATGCTTAATTTATGGAATTAACTATACAATTGACAATTGTGCTCCACTGTTATCCACATTTGTTCTGGGCAAGGATTTTACGAGAACTAAATGGGTTAAAAATGCCCTGGAAGTGCATGGGGTAGCTATTTTACAGAGTTACCTCTGCTATATTGTTGGTCTGATTCCTCTTGCAGCTGTGCCTTCAAATCTGACCTGTACACTGTTCAGGTGCTTGTTTTTAATAGCATTTGTCACCTTCTTTCACTGCTTTGCCATTTTACCTGTGATACTGACTTTCCTGCCACCCTCTAAGAAAAAAAGGAAAGAGAAGAAAAATCCTGAAAACCGGGAGGAAATTGAGTGTGTAGAAATGGTGGATCTCGATAGTACCCGAGTGGTTGACCAAATTACAACAGTGTGATAGTGTCTGCTTGGTATATTTTCACCCTAGATCTTATCAAGAACAATGAGATTATGTTAATGGAGACAATTAAGTTCAAAGCTGTTCCCTTTTTTTAAAGGATATGAAACAGGCATTGCAAAAAATAGTAAAGGACAGGGGGAAGTAGTGGGCATGGCACCTTTTCAATCTTTAAAACAAAAGAGTTGTTATAAAAATGAATTTATATACACACATGTACCCTAGGAGACTTACAGTCTCTTAAGCTAAGATCAAATAGAAGAAAGCTTATTAACAAGGAGGATCCTATTTTATCCAGACTGCAGATGTTGCTGGTATTATTATAAAAGCAACTGATTGAAAGGTCAGCTGCCAAGCAAAAATAGATTTAAGTATTGTTCAAACAACAAGGCTTCCAAAACTTCTGCAGAGCAGTAACTCTAGCTAAGGTTTGAGGTCTTGGCTGTCTTACCTAGCTCAACACCCAAGGAGATGCTTCTGAAAGTTCTGACCAGTAAAAGCAAGCCAGAGCCTCAGAAGCAGATGTGGTAGAGTGGATATCACCCATGAATGAAATTGAGTCACCCCTAAAATCACCTGGGTGAGGCAGTTTTGTTGTTTAGAATAAATTGGTCATATTCTCCCACTGATATACTTTTAGCGTTTGTATAGTTTGGTTAATACACCTGGAAACCAATGACAACTCCAGTATTACAGAATTGGGGAAATTCTATTTTGGAATATCATATCACTTGTCACTGAATGAGTCTGCTCTATTAGTTACAGCTCTTGGCAGAAGGCTCTGAAGATGTAAAACCATAAGCCAAACTCAAAATACCTGGCATGATGGGGAAAAGTAGGTGTCTACTTGAACCTAGAGAAAGCATCTCCATTTTAACAACAACAGAAAATAGCCAACTGGTACAGCTGTTTGTGGTTTGACCTTACATACATTTTTGCATGGATGCCTAGGAACAACATCTGCCCACACATAATGAAGGAAGAATAAATGAACACTAAAATAGTTATTTGCTATTGCTTCCAACTTGTAGTACCAGTCTTTTCTATGAGACATGACTTCTCATAGACTTAGGAGTTTAAAAAGATCTTTGGTAAGTCTAAGTCCTAACACTGAGAAACTGTAGAAATGCTGGGAAACAAAGGGCCAAAAGAAAATAGATGGAAATTACTGAAAAAAAAAGCAATTACCAATACAAATCTATCAATGACAGAAATCAAACTTTCCTGCTAAACTGGCTGTACCTCACCTTCCTGGTCCCCAGCACACCCCTACTTCATTACAAGGCCCTTCTGTACATTAAAAATCCCAGATAGTTATATTGTTGACTTGCAGTATCTACAGGGGAAATGGTTCATAGATCTAAATGGGAATGGTTTGATCTGAACACAATATGTATGCTGCCCCCAGACCCCTATATTTCTTTAACTCTATAAAAATGAAGCCAAAACCTGGTTACATTTGAGGCAAACATCTCCAGCATTTTTTCCTTTTTAGAGATGTTAGCTTTTTTAGACATCTATAGTGGTAAGCATTTCCCAAAGGCATCTTACCTTTCTGAACCTTAGTAGACATACTGTGCAACTTCCCTATCCTCCACAGAGGAGGAAACTAGGAGCTAGAAGAATAAATTAACTCACCCAGGTCACACAGCTAGAAGAGTTCCATCATTTTAGCATGCCTAAGATAGGGCAGGTCAATTTTAGATGTTCTCATGAGACCGTCATTACTCCCCCTCCCTGAAATACACTTTTAAGATAGGAACATAGGACTTTATTGGCCACAGGGCAGACATGTTTTTAATGCCTGAGATTAAAAGTTTGTCACTGTCTTTCTCAGCAGCCAAAAACCCCAAATGATTCTGATGTAACCACACAAATGCACCTGTGCTTTCTATTTCATGTGCTGCTGTCCACACAGATCTAAATACATATACAGGGAATCATAGCTAGTGCATTACACACTTGTTCAGTCTCCCCTGCAGGCACACTAAGCGATCATACCAACATGCTATTCACTCAAGAAGACAATGAGCTTTAATCTGAGGACAGGTATAGTCCTCACAAAGGGCAAGTTTGCATAATAGATCTTCAATCAATTCTCTCTCTCCTAGGGGCCTGCAAATAAGCTATCATTTATAAAACACAGCTGCAGAGGGGATTGCTTTTAATCTTAAATCATATGTTGCTAAATCATTTTCTGAACAGTGTGTCCTAAATCAGCCATTGATTTAATGTCAGCCACATGGAGCACCTAGGCTTAATGTGACTCCACAAAACTGACACAACACAACACACACACACACACATACACACACACACCCCAATTAAATGGATTTTGTTGAGAATTAATTGTTCAATTTGGACAACCAGAATGACTTACTGTGGAACTTTGTTTTATGACAGATAGTAGTTTTCCACCTTGACTGAGTTTCTGTGTATCCTGGGATATTGTATTTTTAAATGAAGGGCATTGTCAAACTTATCAACTTCTCTTTTCAGCACTTGAAATCAAGGCTTACGAAATTCTGACTGTGAAATGAATTTTTCTATTGGGGTACTATGCATGCCAAGATTTATTATTTATTGTTAGATAATTGTTATTTATTTGTTAATATTAATTATTGATTATTGCTCTAACAGCATTCATTTAACCCCACTGTGGAGAAGACACTTTAGAAGTATCTCAAAATCACACCTCCATAAAATTTAAGTCTTTAATCCATGAATTTTTATTTTTTGAATTGCCACAAAGAGAGAATTATGATCCCAGCAAACACTTGAATTTTTTTCTTTTAATTAATTCCAACCAAGACATTAATGTCCACTTTACCAAAGAAACTTATCTGGTTGGTTTTGAGTTGGTGTTTGGTGTTTGTTTACCAAAGAAAATATTCCATTCATCAAAAATATTTCTCCTGGTCAAGTAAAAAACTGTGATACATGGGTTTCTTGGCCTTCATAGGGAAAATAAAAAGGCCAAGGTAAGGGTAATGATATTCTCTCTTTTAGTGGAATTCAGCAGAATGTGTAAATTCTCAAGGAACTTAGGATTTGCAAGAAAGGAAATCATACTTGAAATAGGACACTATTGTTTAGTACTATAGCAGTGTTCCAACAAGTAGCATAAAGACTCCACAGGTTAAAAGAAGTATAGTTTGTTCCAGAGAAAACAGAAGTCAAACCCTCATGAAAATTCCTCTCCAAGTTGGGCATGATGGTACACGACTATAATTCTAACACTGAGAAAGATAAGGCAAGAGGATTGAAAGTTCAAGGCCAGCCTGGGCTACATAAAGAGACACTGTCTCAAAAAAAAAACAGAAATTTTAAAAAGAGAGAAAATTCCTCTCCATTATTCTAGTTCGTAAGGTTTTTTTTGTTAGGCTTTGGTTTCCCCCAACCCCCTCTCCCTTGATAATTATTTGCTTTGGTTTAGTTCGTGCTTTTTGTTTGTGTTTATTTTTAGTGTTTGCTTGTTTTGCTTCTGCCTTCTTACCACTTTCACCCTCCTCCATTTTCAGTTAGAAGTGAGATAATCACTTCTGATTATGGAAGATAATCACATCCTCCATGGCCACAGTTATTTACACAACATACTGCTCTAAACAAGGCCCTTGAGAATTCTTTTATTTTAGGTGACCACCATCTAATTGTAAATGGCATTCTGGGACCATGACACTACTTTTCTCCAGCCCCAGCAACAGAGCTTGGCTGTGTCCCTCACAAGAAAGGTGAGATGGAGAGCTGCATTGGGGGTGTGATGTGAAACAAAGCCTCTTGGACACAAATGGCATCCTCTTCATAATGGCTTTATTCCTTTGGATCCTATTAAAGTATCCCTGCAGCTTGTAGCAATGTTTGATCTCTGTGAATCTCTTTTTTTATCTATAAAATGAGGATAACAACACTAAATATCCTTAAATTCAGCAAATATTTATTGAGTGCTTAATAATGATCATATACTATTCTAGAGACAAGAGGCACAAGAGTGAACACATCAGATAAAAAAAGTAATCTACCCTCTTAGAGTCTGTGTTTGAGTGATATTGCAAGTATTCTGTGGAGATCGGGATCATGCTTGGAAAGTGACTGTGACAAGGCCTAGCACAGAGATGAGACTCAAGACATTTTTAATTTGTCAATCTCACACAGTAGCACTAGAGTTTAAGATATAAAGCTATACAGATTTGGGAACAAGATTAGGGCTATATAAAAATGCAATGCATTGCCACAGAAGGTAGTTAATTCCTGGTCATTTTTAAGACATTCAAAATTAGGCTGGATCACCATTTAGTGAGACAATTATAAAGGAGGTGTAAGTGCTGGGTTTTGGGGTTGGACTGTGAACCTTAAAAAATGGGATATGGTCACTTAGTGGGGGTGGGAAGGGAACAGTGCTGACTACTATCTATTCTTGGCTGATCTGAAGACATAGGAACATTCCCTTTGGATAATATGCTTTTAAGTTTGTGCTAAATAAAAAGCACCAGGTATTTGAAGACAAAAGTTCCAAAGTTTTTAAAGCATAGCAAAGTTATAGCACAAAGGAAAACATTAAACTGGTACTATACTAGATTAGCTGGCAAAGAGCTGAGAATGGCTACAGCCAGCACATTGTAGAGTTCTTCCCTGTGGTGGTTACAACTGTTTCTGTTTTGTGCCAGTCCAGGAGAAAGCAAAGAGGAAAGTGCAATGATCTAGAATCTGTTCACCTGATGGGCAGTGTCAGGATGTCCTCCCCAGCCGCCTCTCATCTGCCTCACCATCTTTCTGCCCTTTAATATTTATAAGGGTGCCATACAAGGAAGAAGTGAAATGACCAGAGAGCTGTGGCCTCTGTGCAGGTTTTTATTTTTTGGTGGGACTGGCCTGTGAAGATTTTTGAGTTAGATTAAAATTAGCATCACAAGGGTTCAGAGGAGACTACCTGGTGGGGAAAGAAGGCTTCTTTTCAAAGCACAAAGAAAGCAAGGTGTACAAAGGAAGCAACCTACAGAGGGACCTTAGTGGAAGTTATGATGTTCCTGTGGAATGTTCTGGCTTCTTCTCCCTCCAGAATGTTAACACCAAATGAATCTTTGGATAGAATTAACCCTATCCCCTTGTTTTTCACATGAGAAAACTGAAACCTGGAAAAGTGAGATATTCATAGAGCTAGTTAGAAGCAAATACAGGGATATAATTGAAGTCTAGTTCCTAGCCTCAGTTCTTTCTCCATTCTGCCACTTTACTGCCAAATTCTACATATCTGAGTTATGTAGTCTTAACCTGAGGGTCATGAATGAGTTGGGGGAGGGAGGAACTCTGAACTCCCTAAAATTAAATTATATGCAAAAATTGTGTTCAATATGTGCATTTTACTAAAGAGTGAGTTCCTAGTTATCAGATTCCTAAAGAGGTCTCTGTGACCCACTGCCCTAAATTAATAAAGACCTCATTGGGAGTGTGATCCTGTTGTCATTTTGGCTAATGGGCAATCAGGAACCTTTCAACCATCCACAATGCTTCCAAGTAGTGGCTTCCTCATGCCAATCCCAGTGCCTACATAGTTCTGCTCATTTATCCTTCATTCATTCTTTCACTCATTCATTTGTTTAGTCTGCAAACATGTTCAGTGCCAATTTATATTCCAGCACCAGCTAAACATGCCCTCCAAGGCAGAGTCAAGAAAAGACCCCCTCTGCACTATGCTCTTGTTCCCAGGAGGAATACCAGACTGCTACCATATTTCTCGCTGCTGCAGCCAAATATACATAGCCTCAAGATTACAATAACTATCCCCCACACATACACAGAGTGGGCAAAAAACAAAGCTGCCATGTAGAAGTGTGCCCTGTCAAAGAATCAGAGAAAGAGCAGCCTATTTCCAGGTTATATAGTTACATGCTTCTTGGCAGCAGTGTACCAAGTCCTTGGAATTCTCCCAAGTGAGCTCTACTCCAGAGTGTCTATACCAGACGTATCTGCACTCCCCAATAAACATGGAGAAAATAGTCTCATTCATCCATTTAT